GCCGTCAACAAAGTGGAGAAAGACGTGTTGATGGAATTGTCGAAGAACAAGTCGGAAATGGCGAGAAACAGGGCGTCGAGCGACGACGGGGAGAGCGATAGCTCGGAGGAGTTGCAGTACGGTCCTGGGATCGTGAATAAGCTGAAAAGCAAGTATCTTAACCTTACTTTGAGGGAAACGAACAGGAGTCGCGTGTCCGTGCAACGTTTTCGCCGCGCGGCAAGTCTCGAGGACTTGCTAGACTGCGACGACGAGCCGAACGAGAAAAGCACAAGGAAATACGCGAAGAGGACGGCGCCAGGTGCCGCGACGAAAACGGACAGATACAGAAACGCTTCGCGCGGGAACGAGTCGATGAAACGAGCCAGGAGCGTGGAGACATTGTTGAGGTACAATGGCACGGACGAGGTGGCCAGTGGTCATGGCGTAACCGGTCGCGTGGCCGCGAACGGCCTGAAGCAAGAGCCGGTCAACGACCACATTATCCTGATAGATCGGACCACGGTGAAGATAGAGAGTCGGTTGGGCGAGTTGGACAGGCCCAAAGCTGTGAACAAACCGAAGAGAATCAAACCGTTGCTGGCGGAGACCGAGAGGCCACCGCCGGATCTAGTCAAGACCACCATGAGAATCTTCGAAGGGTCCGCGAAGAAGTTGAAACCGAAAGGCGAGGTAGCTGCCAAGGTGGCCACGTTCAAGACCATAAACGACACGTACAAAGCCCAGACGCAGAAAAAGCTGGTGCCGAAACCGCCCGTCCAACCGAAACCTTTCGTGAACGGCAACTCCAGGGCACCGCCCGGCTCCCCGAAGAAGATCGTGCTGCCGCAGAAACCGACGGCCGAACTGATCGAGACCCAGGAGGAGTTCCACATCGACGGGGTGATAACGGATCCTATCGTGCAGTCCGTCTCCTCCGTGGTCAGCAAGTTCCAGCAGATCGAAAAGTCGCATTCTCCCTCGCCCTCGCCCGAGCCATCCTTCAAGTTGAAGTTCTCCCCGGCGCCGAGTCCCGAGCCTCAATTAAGTAAATTCAAATCCTCCTTAGAGATCAGCGTCAAGTCCCCGCCCGTAACGCCCGTTCTTTCCCCCAGAATCCCCTCGCCCAGGCTGCACAGCCCTTCGTCACCGATCAAGGACACCGCGTTGAGGCAAGGCTCGCCACGCGTGCACAGTCCACCGTCCCCGATGAAGGACCTACCCAGACAGAACTCCAGTCCCGTCCACAAGCCGCCACCGAGTCCGAGCAGGGAGCTGCTCAGACAAATGTCCGCTCCTGAACAGACCAAAGTCCCGCGGACGGACGAGACCGCGCTTAACAATACCGCGGAACATCCGCGACAACAGCAATCACCCGAAAGGATACACAGTCCCACGGAAACGGAGAAATTCGACGAATGCAAGTTTCCTGCGGACGCCGTGGCCAGCGACGACGAGCTCGCCGAGGAGGAGGTCGACGCTCCTAAAACCATCTCCAAAACTGCGTTGGAGAACATCGCGAGAACCGGAGTCACTATGCAGTTCAGCTTCAGCGATAAGCCCACTTCGAACAAGAGTTACCTACCGGGTTTCAAACAGAACGGTCAGAAGGTGGACGAACAGCCGGACATTAGAAACGAGACCAAGTCGTCGGAGTCGAGGGGCAAGCCGTTTTTGTCGCCGACTATCGGCAACAACGCGGGAAACGTAGCCGTAACGGAACAGGAGACGACGGTATCGAGGCTGCAGGAGAGGCTAGAGGCGGACAAGCGCGATAGGAAGATCGAGGACAGCAAAGAGGATACCGACGTCAAGCTCAACGTCGACAATAAACCCATAGGTGCTATCTGTAGCCTAGGTTTGATCAAGACCTCCACCACCACCTCGTATCCGCAAGGGAACGAGTCGAAAACGATAAGATGCCAGAAAAACACCGAGTCGCCTCCTCAGAAACAAATTGGAATAATCAGACCGCTAGTGTCCACCAAGACGCAGCATCCTCAACAGAATCTGAGCAACAGAGAGTTGGAAAAGAATTTGATCAATCGGGTGAAGAGCATAGAACGCCTCAATTAAGTAAATTCAAATCCTCCTTAGAGATCAGCGTCAAGTCCCCGCCCGTAACGCCCGTTCTTTCCCCCAGAATCCCCTCGCCCAGGCTGCACAGCCCTTCGTCACCGATCAAGGACACCGCGTTGAGGCAAGGCTCGCCACGCGTGCACAGTCCACCGTCCCCGATGAAGGACCTACCCAGACAGAACTCCAGTCCCGTCCACAAGCCGCCACCGAGTCCGAGCAGGGAGCTGCTCAGACAAATGTCCGCTCCTGAACAGACCAAAGTCCCGCGGACGGACGAGACCGCGCTTAACAATACCGCGGAACATCCGCGACAACAGCAATCACCCGAAAGGATACACAGTCCCACGGAAACGGAGAAATTCGACGAATGCAAGTTTCCTGCGGACGCCGTGGCCAGCGACGACGAGCTCGCCGAGGAGGAGGTCGACGCTCCTAAAACCATCTCCAAAACTGCGTTGGAGAACATCGCGAGAACCGGAGTCACTATGCAGTTCAGCTTCAGCGATAAGCCCACTTCGAACAAGAGTTACCTACCGGGTTTCAAACAGAACGGTCAGAAGGTGGACGAACAGCCGGACATTAGAAACGAGACCAAGTCGTCGGAGTCGAGGGGCAAGCCGTTTTTGTCGCCGACTATCGGCAACAACGCGGGAAACGTAGCCGTAACGGAACAGGAGACGACGGTATCGAGGCTGCAGGAGAGGCTAGAGGCGGACAAGCGCGATAGGAAGATCGAGGACAGCAAAGAGGATACCGACGTCAAGCTCAACGTCGACAATAAACCCATAGGTGCTATCTGTAGCCTAGGTTTGATCAAGACCTCCACCACCACCTCGTATCCGCAAGGGAACGAGTCGAAAACGATAAGATGCCAGAAAAACACCGAGTCGCCTCCTCAGAAACAAATTGGAATAATCAGACCGCTAGTGTCCACCAAGACGCAGCATCCTCAACAGAATCTGAGCAACAGAGAGTTGGAAAAGAATTTGATCAATCGGGTGAAGAGCATAGAACAGCCGACCAAGGTCGTGGTCAGTCTGAAGAGCGCGGAGGAGATTCAACCTGCGAAAAAGACCGGTTCAGGTGGCACTGGCCTGTGGGAGACGAAGCCATGGAATCAACAGAACAACACCATGGTGTTCAATTTCAGTAACCGGAAGGACGTGCCGGACTATATCGAAAACGATGGACTCATCATTAAGAGGAAAAGGGAGAAGCCGAAGGTGAGTCATCGATATCTTTTAATCATCGTCGGCTTTCTTATCGGGTCGATATTCTTTCGATTTCTCGGCATCGACGCATTTCGAGTCATCATGGCCGGAGTTACACAATTTTTATGAACCGCAGTTTATTCGCTATCTTAAGATGGACTTCGACTATCGTCGTTTATACGATTTAACAGCGAAATCACGATTTAAAATGTAACGTCAGAACGTACGAATTTCGCGAGCTGAAAGCACGAACAATATAAATCTTTCTTCGAGAATGAAAAATGAAAGAAGTTGAAACTAGTCTGGTAGCATAAATCAAGCTGTAACAATGGTAAATAAAAATCCGTTGCAAGAACTACCGTGACGAGTCGAAGTTGATACCTCTCGAAACAGTTGTAGATTTCGATGTAACAAAAAGTCAGCGATCGATACGGTTCACTAGGGACCTGGTACTTTCTTTTCCTACGTGTACATAATTCAAGCATTTCACTTTCTTTTAATACGACGCGTTAACAAAAGTCGTCTTCCTCTTCTCTGACTCGTACTTCGAGGCGCGTGCTTACTCGCGCGACGATGCTCGCGGAATTTCAAGTAACGTCTGAGCATTCGAAGCACGCGGTCACATTTAAACCATTCGTGTACGCGACATTTATTTGCTTTTCCATTCCGCAGTCGAGTAGGATGTCGCGGTTGACTCGTCGTAAACTCTTTCCTCGACTGATAAGCCTCGTTCATACTGGTCAGACTACGTCATTTCGAGTTACAGCACTGCCTGGGTAGCGATCGTGGGTGTGCGACTTAATTATTACCAGAGTAGACAGATGTCCTAAAAATCGTTAACCGAGGGAGCATTAGTAAACCTCAAATTTAAACCTTCCAACATTTAAAAATTCTAGAATTTGTAACCATAAATTTTAAAAATTTCTTATATCCACTAGTTTGCACGCGTGCTGTCGTACTTCCATTTTTCTTGAAGAAGACTATAGTGCTCGATAATTTCGTATGCTCGCTTCTCGTTTATTTTCCTTGGCACCGTGCGCTGCTCTTCCCTCGGGAAAACACTTTCCAAGGGTGGAAAGGCTCGTCGCTCGTTACGACGCATTATGCTACGTTTGCACGACGTAAAAGCGAATAGTTGAGTGGATACTTGCGAGAAAGTTGTTAGGAAAGTCCCTCTGGTGGCGAAATCTGAAACTGGGGAAATATTTTCGAAGCAAAACTGCACCGAACGAAACTGTGCGTGTCGAACGTTATACGCGAAAAGGCAGAAAATTAAGATGAGTAAATCGAAAATGGCGACGAAGCTGGCTTTCTCGTATTAGATAACCCGGAAGCTTCGTTGTCCGTTCGAATACGGATTACCCTAGCTAATTTGCCAACGATCCGAGTCCTCTTTCTCCTTCAACCTGGCTCAATTTCTCGCTGCACGATCTCGCTTGATGATCATTCCTACTTGATCTAATGCTCGTAACGAGGTATCCGCGAATCGGTCGAAAGACGACCGTTTAACGAACCGGAAACTGGAACGTGCTTCGAAACCGTGCGCTTCGCCAAACTACGCGACACGAAAATAATTTCTGTAGCCATATTACAAACCTGGAACTTTGAAATTCACGATTATTCAATGGATCTGTCGTTCTCCAGCGTTCGAGGGAAAAGTTTACGAACACGGGAAGCCCTAAAATTAATTGGATCTGCTTTAAGGACGATGCTAACGACGAAATCAGCCGCTTAACGCCTACGCGAGAGTCTCGTGTCGCGTTTTGCAAGTGGATTTTTTGTTCTATTCGTTAGTGGTATACGGTTACCTGCAAGTGTACGTTTACCTTTAACGGTCAGCCTCGGGGAAAGATGAAATTTCGCGCGACACGCGTAATTCGATTGACGACATGTCGCGCGTATCCGATTGCTTGTCCCGTAAGGTAACCTCGCCTTGTCTACGATTCCTCGCACGAACTTGCTGCTGTTGCGATCTTCTTGTTGGTAATCAAACGAAGATTAAAGGGACCTTTGATCGGATGACAACAATACAAAATTAGAACTTTGAATCTTTGGTAGTTCATTTTTTGAGACGACGTTTCTGTAGCTTGGAGAGAGATTAGAAGGGTTTGGTTGTAGTTGATGAAAAAATTGAAAGGATCTCCTATCGCGGATAAACATAGTTACGTCGACGACGATATCCTTGCATTATCTCTATAGAGTATCGCGTGAAAGCTTTGTCAAGTAGTCGAATAGAATAGGTAGAAAGTTGTAGGGAGGCTTTTGATAATAATGCGCACAGATTACTCGAGAAGCGATTGTATCGCGCGCAACGCTCGGTCGCGTTAATTAACCTTCGACGACTTCGTAATAATTACACAATCCCGTGAGTTTTAACCCGACGAACGTATACACAACGCGTTAATTATCGTTAGCTGGCTAAACGAACGCGATAATTGGCCTTATTAATCGACGAAAATACTTGCTCCAAAGACGAGCTCCATGCTCCTCCACTGCGATGCGCTCTTCGATTAAGCCAATAACAGCTAGTAATTTTCCAAGATTTCCAGTTGAAAAGTAATAGAAACGGAAATGTTGGTTTCGTAAAAGCTTCAAATTATTTCGGCAATTGTTTCAGAAATTTTCAGCGAAGAAGTAACGGGAATCGAAGTCACGGTCGTAAAGATTCGTAATTTTTCGGAGAATTTCCGGTACTAAACAGAGATCGAAGTTGAATTCAATTAGTAATTAAAGAAAAAATATTGGACGAGGAAAATGAATTCTTGAGATTACCCTGGTGGAATTCCTAGTGGTAGCCAACTGCAACGATGCTCGTTTCGTAATGCAGCCGGAAAGAAATTAATCGTGGTGCGAGAAGCGTTACCGAGCCGATGTTACGTCGATATACCACGTGCTTCTGTCGTAAATATTTCCAATTTTGTGTCCAAGGGAGCTCGGTAACGGTAAAAATCTTTCACAATCCTTCGAAAGTTTGTCCACGGTGAAAGCAGAAATTACGAAGCGTTTTTAATTGTCACGGAAATAAAAAAATTCCTTTATCATCGGTTTCAACCAGGGAAAATGTAAAGAAAATCAAATATCGCTACAGAGAAAGTAATTCTTCTATGTTTCTAATTATCGTCGTTGACGCGTTCATTATTGCAGGATCATTAGTTCCATTACCGGTCACTCCATTTTTGATCCAATAATTTCGAAATGATTGTTCGACGTTTTGTGGTCCGTCGCCGTAGATGCACGATTAGACAGATATTAGTAACGTCCATAGAAGGACGTCAGAACCGGAAACAAGGTACGTAGCCGATAGTTACGCGTTATTACATAAGCATTAAACGCGTTTCTTCGCTTTCTGCGTTATTACGGTTATCGAGAATTCCCCTTGCAACAAATGGCCTGATGTAACATCAAGAGTACAATGGCCAGAAAGGAAAACTAGCGCTTGGTATGCATTTGCGTATCCGCGCGTGTTCGACTAGGACCACTCGATCAGCTGTTTGCTCGGTGGCGCCATGCTCGAGTATTTCAGCAGTTAAACTCGAAACGAAGCAAAAATTTACATTCGGTTATCGGTTCGAAATGGATTTACGGCATATCTCGTTAAATATTAATAACCTTGTTGCCAGTTTATGAAGCGAACTGCAAATTGTTGTCAAGAGATAATAACGAAACTAACGTGTTATCATTCTTGCAGATATGTACAAAACACACGCGTGGTTTAGGGTTCACCTAGATGAGTCAGACGATCGCTTTATCGATCGGTAACTGACAACAGTCAAAACACTGACTCGATATATCGGATATCGGCGATACGTCGGACAGTCCTCTATCGGGGTATCTAGTTGTTTTTCCTTTTGCGAGTTCGATAAGAAACTCGTTCGAAGAATATCGGAGATCGCAATTTGCAAGGTGATTACGCGAGAAAACGGGATAGGTACTGTACGTTCGCGCATCGTTTAAAGAACCACTGTTCTCGATGATTTCGTCAGCTGGTTTACCGTACTGCATGCACGGTAATCGAGTTTGTACGGCTGGAGAATGTATCCTTGACCTTCTTTCTTTCGATACCTATTACCTTAGTCTGCCATTCGCGTCGCGCGTCTTACTTTTCGCGTGTCGAGTTCCACAAGAAATCCTATTCCTTGGGAACACGCGGATTAATCTTTGTACGCTAGCAAGTATACTAGGCTTCCCTAATGAGAAAGACGATATAACCACTATTCGAGTAAAATAGTGGTAACTCTTTGGCAATATAACGAATGGAGCCTCCGTCCATACAGGAAATTACGACGTACACGAAGAAACGAGATATTTTCCAACCGTGATTTTCAAATCGTTAAATTGCTCGTTCAGCGAAAAACTGAAATTCGTCGATCGATAATCGCTCGTAAAAATGTTAACGGCTTATCTCCTTGTCCTGTCGATAATTTTCTATCTCAGGGACGATTCGAATCGATTCGCTTGCACAGTTATCTCGACACGATGGAGATGTTCCTTTTCACTGGACGGGGAGAATCGAATTCATAGTTTCTCTCGATTAGCCTCGCGGTCGCAGCAGGTCGTCGTGGTTTCTTCGAGGAATTGCCAGGTAGATAGCTGACTAAGAAATGGTAGTCGCGAGGTACCGTGGCTGGTGACATTCCGCAAGACGCTATGGGAATTCTCGTATATGGCCGTCCTAGAGCAGCGCGGCACGACGCATACCACGATAGAAACTGTCGTGGTCCGTTATCGCGGTTCAGACTCGCTTCTCGGCCGTACACCTTCTACGGAGCATTACGCTCTAACGATCGTGTTGCAACTGAATCGACCGCTACACTTTTTGGTATGTAGGCCATACGCGACAATAGCTTCTTCTGTATTTTTTAACACGTTTCGGTTGCTCGTTTATTCCGCGGTTCGATACCGTGCTATTTTCGAGGAAATGCTGGAGTAGAATACGCGCTCATCGTAGCTGTAATCTAAATTAATTAGAAGCGCATAAAATCCGAAGGTCAGCAAAGGCGCGTGACTTACCG